CTCTGGCGCCACCCCTGCACTGCTTTTTAGTTGTCTTTTCTTATCATGGAGGAATTAGTTTTTTAAACTAGCTTAGTTCCAGTTTTATTGTGAGAGGGCGGATGCTTATTTGCACTGCGCAAGCACAGAATGTTGTAAAATACACGATTAATAATGGGCGAGGTTCTTTATCTTCTCTAGGAAATTTCCATTTTGACAGTTGTGCAGTGCAGGTACGTTTACCGCATCATCGTCCATGCAGAGCTATTTATTCTGTTAAACTATCACAATTTTAGGTGAGCATGTACCGTTTAAATTTGTCAGTCCTGAGTGCTGTGCATGCTGCATCATGTGCAGTTGTACACTAATTGCCTATTTTATTTTACTTCAGGAAATACTTTGGGTTGCAGTAAGCTGCTATAGTACCGTGACTATTAGCTCATAACTCTATGTGCTTTGTGGGTGTGCGATCGAGCCGCGGTACTGACATTGATTCTCAGTTCAAAAAGAGTTTTACAATTGCTTGCTGATGATGGTTGTGCTTACAAATAGTCCGAAATAAAAACTAGAATTAAGATATTGTATAGGATAGGGGCGAATCCAGTTGTTCCCAGTTGGACTGTTATTTAGTGTTAATAATTGTGTGGTGGCGCCAGGGGTGGGGGTAGAGGGTGGTGTGCCGGGAGAGAATTTCTGGTGGTGGCAGGGGAATTGTCTTCCTGTCGGATTTCGTAGGTCTGGACCCCTTGTCGTCTGAAACCACGACAAGGGGTTGCAATGAGAAATGTTACTCCCTAAAGTAACGAAGCTCCGGGGAGGCTATTTTTTTTGCTTATGTTCTTCTTCATGTTGTCATCATTGTCACTGTCGTTGTTGGTCATTCGTTTGTTACCATGCTAAAGTTTGGTAAGTCCGATTGTTTTCCAACTTGGCAGAATGTAAGATGGTAATAAGAAGATGGAGCATATTGTTTTTGGTATGTGTATGAATATGCTAATTGTTCATTTGCATAATTAATATTTCACTAATCAGGTTAGGCTAATTACCATGATAACTAAAGTTTGGTAAGTCTGGTTTCAAATTTGACAGAATGCAAGATGGTACTAAGATGACAGAGCCTTATTTTTGGCATGTGTGTGAATATTCTAAGTGTTCATTTGCATAATTAATATTTCACTAATGAGGTAATTTAGTCTAGTTACCATAAATAAAGTTTGGTAAGAAGGCAGAGCCTATTGTACAATATGTACTAGCATTTGTGGTCGGGGAAATATTTAATTATTATTGAATAAATGTACCAGCATGAAGATACTACCAAATTTTAAAGATTTAATAGATATTGAATAACAATTTAAAAAAATATATATTTCCTGTTGACCAGGAAAGTTATGCATACTGTAGCTCTAAGGTACTTGTGAATCATTCTCTGGAAAAGCACTGTGTCTTCTAGTACTTCTAAAAATATTGTCAGGCCCGTAGCCAGCATGCTTCTAGGGGGGGTTCGTCTCTTATACACATCT